AAGAAAGCCAGAAATTTATTTGCAGTAGTAGTAGGCCTAGCAATCATGACCACAAGGCTGTTGATTCAGATCCCATCAGGATAAACCAAAGAGGCCTTCATGCTCCAGTATACCTTCCACTGCGTTTTGTGTCTGAATCCTTGAATAAGACTTGTTCATAAGTTGTGATGAGAAAATACAAGACAAAAGTCAAAATGAAAACCTAAGATACTGGCTTTACAATTGCTTTGAATGCTAAATGACTGCAGCTGGTGTTAGCACTCTGCACATCCATGTCAGACTGAGTCCAATGTTTGTCTAGGTTTTTTAACCCCTGACCTTTAAATCTTAAAACAGGGTTCAGATGTCAATTCTGGGAAAGGGTCATTGATCCGAAGTATCAGCACAACTATTGTCAGTGAGGAGACGATTGAAATAAAGAATTCTGCTGAGTACAGAAGGCAGTCACCTTTTTCATCATTCAAAGAATGGATGGTGGCACAGACACACCAAGCGAGACGGAGAGAGACACCAAGGGGTCGCCCTCTTTTCTTTGTCCACTTTGCTAAAAGACCAGAGATAATTAAAGACGTGTTTGGTTTGGCTTTTGAGTGGAGTAATCCGCTCACCTGCTACAGCAACAACAGAGGTCTAGCTCTAAGGCAAACAGAGGGATGAGGAAAGAAAGGAAAGAAAAGTCTGCTTTTTGAACACAATAAACAGGTGCAAAGCTATCTGTGCAGTGAACCAGGTCACCTGGGTTCATGAGAGGTCAGCAAGCTGGGGATGGCATATTATTGTGCATGTTAGATTGTGAGTACCTTAAGAAGACACAGATGACAATGATCATACTAGTTTTTGTTCAACAGTGCATGCAACTCATTTTAATACTGAAGTATCAACACTATTAGAATTACAAAAAAGACTGTGTATTAATAAGCATAAGGTGTGTCTACTTTCTGCATCCATGGGAAACTAACACATGGTGCCTTTCTGTTGTTGGATAATACAAGATTTTTTCATCATGCGCATTACCAGTATAAAACCCTCTCTGTCCCATACAAGGCTGTTTTGGGCATGTGGCCTTGCTGACAATGTTCACTCCCTCCCTGACGACGGGACCAAATGAAGCAGAAGGCATTTTATCGCTTTCCGTATGACCAGGACTGAAGAAGCGTGATAAAGCAGGTGTCTGGAGTCATCAGAAGCGCTGGCGACAAGTATGAGTGCTGAGGTCACGCTTCAGTCCAAACCATTGCTGTACCCAAACAGCAAAAAGAAATTTTAAAGAACAGTACAAAAAAATGTGTAAAAAAGAGCAACTTGGAGCACTTCAATTTCAGTTTTTCCTGCTGACTCAAGGACATTAACGTGTTATCACGTTTATGTGCAGCACATGGACATGTGGACTTTAGAATATGTGCACGTTTTTTGTCCATATGCCTGCATGACATTTGTGCACATGAAGACACTGAAGAAAATGTTGCTTAAAGGTAGCTTTAAATTTACATTATTCAAATATATACATTGGCTCCACATGAATAAAATGTGTTAAATGAACATAATTACTATGTGTAAGTACTTAACCCCTTAAAATCCCAGGCATATATGAAATACACTAAGGCTTATTATTCAGTAACTACACAGACTACAGTAATCCAGCTGAGTTATTCTGTATTCCTATAGAAGTGTGTAATAAAACCCTGGCCATTTAAGGTGTTAAATAACTTTCTTAATTTAAGTTCATACAACGTATTTCATTTGTGTGGAACCGATGTATACATTTAATTTCTGTAAATTCAACAACTTTTATTAAGCACAGAATTCATTGTCTAAAGCAGCTCACCGCCACTAGTGGTTCTCAACCCTGGTCCTCGAATACCCCTTGTCCTGCACATTTTCGTGTTCCCCTGCTCCCAACACACCCGATCCAACTAATCAGCTCATTAACAATCCTTTCCTGAGTAGAAGAGTATGTCATAGAATAGAAAAACACTAAAATGTGCAGGGCAGGAGGTACTCCAGGCCCAGATTTGGGAACAATATGTGAGTGGTGCAAAGTGGGAGCAGAGCGAGGAGTGGAGCAGCGTGATTTTGCCCAGAGTGCGGAGCAGCTTTTCCGAAAGTCGGAGCATCTGAGTTCTTTCTCACTCTAAAATCGCAGTAATACCACTCCATCCTGCTTTTTGAAATGCAGTGAAATGAAGTGCACAGTGTCTGTCCATATGTTCAAAACATAAAATATCATAAGAATGAATCATTTGCAGCAGACATGGAGCAGGGCTTTCTTTGATGTGTGAGAGTGGAGCGAACAAGGAACAGGAAATAGAAAACCTGACAGACTAGATCTGGAGTAAATCAAAAATTTCAGAAATGGTTGTCACATGAGCAATTTTGGTCAAGCAGTACCACAAAGAACTAACTGAACCCCCTAATGAAGACTTTGACTGCTAAGTGAATATATGTGTGACTAATAAAGAAATACATGTCACACCAACAGCTTTCGGTTATAAATGCCATTTACTTAAGATTTTACTAGAAAGGCCGGTGGGCCATGTCGACTGATAGAGATAGAGAGATGTCACACAGAAAGATAAGGTCAAATAGAGAAGTAACAGACAAAACTGCATTTCATATGCATGATTATCAGCTCCAAGCTAGCTGGGTCACATGGCGTACTCGTCCTCTTCGCAGTACCCCAGGCCATGTCTGTGGGCTCACCATGTGCTTGAAATAAATAACAACCCGAAAACAATCCATAGAAACTCATGAAAGACACATTTGTTGTCCTAAAGATTTTTTTCCCATCTGTTACTTTCTTTTATAAGCTGGGAACATCTCATCAAAAAAGAAAGACAAGAGGCTTGTTTGAGGCAGCAACATTAAAAGTGCTGTAGTGACCAATGATGCAGTGTATCTTAGTGTGAAAAGAACACACTGAAGTACAGTTATATGTGAAGGTCTGGGAACCTCTGGCCAATTACATGTATTATTGACTTTTGTAATGAAAAGAAGTAAATACAACATCTGCAGCAACTTATCTTAGCTGCAATTGCTGATGCACAGTAACTATATATTTGATTAAAAAAATAGGGAAAAACAAAATAGTTATTGTGGCATGTGCAAAAGTTCGAACATCCAGTTTAAAAGTCTCTGAACTTAGATTATTTAGGCAGGTCAATAATTGTCATTTGCATCAGAGCATTCTCTGACTCTTCCAACCTTGTGCTAGCACTCAACAACATTGTGCTTCTCTAAGCAGATGGCTGAGGATCTAAAACGGAACTAATTTATGCCTAAAAAGCAGGGAAAAGCTATAAAAAGATATGAGCTTTCAGCTCACAACTTACAATGTCCAAAATGCGTTTAAGAAAGAAATGGCAGTTAAGGGGAACAGTGGAAGTCAAGGCAAGACTCTGATAGAACTGCTCATACATTGTCCAAAAAGGCAAAGAAAAACCCCATATGACAGAAAAGGTCCTGCAGGAAGGTTTACTGACACAGGAGTAGTGGTGCATCGTTCCACTATTGCCTGCACAAACATGATGTACATGGAAGAGTAATCAGAAGGAAGCCTTACCTGTAACCTCATCACAAAAGTCAATGTCTGAAGTAAACAAAACAACAACACAAGGGCTGTAGATGTATGGAGTAAATATGGAACTCTTCGGCTACAGTCTCCAAAGGTATTCTCCAATGTTTGGACAAAAAAAGAGCAGCATTTGATGAAAAGAACCCCTTGCCATCTGTTAAGCATGGGGGTAGATCTAACATGTTTTGGAGTTGTGTGGTAGTCAGAGGAAGGAAACATTAAACAGGTTGATGGAAAAAATTAAGCAAATTGATGGAAGAATGGATTCTACTTAATGTCAATGAATTCAAGAAGCAAATGTGATACAAAACTGAAGCTGAACATCATTGAAAATGTGTGAGTAGTCCTTAAACATGCAAGAGGACCTAAGAATATTGCAGAACTAGAGGTGCTCTGCAAGGAAGAGTGGGTGAAAATTCCTAAAACAAAACTCCTAGCTGGCTGTGATATTTGACAAAAGGGGTGTTACTCAGTAATGATTTAGTAGGTCTCCAAATTTTTGCACATGCCACAATTGCTATTGTATTTATTTTTTAGTTCCTATATTTAATCAACCATAAAATAACAAATATACAATAAACCCACTATAAACCCACAACTGAGGTTGTGTTTATTTCTTTTCACTCCAAAAATCAACAAAATATAAAAATTTGGTGGTGCACAAACTTTTGCTTACAACTGTATTTTATAATATTAGACAGTAAAGATGACAGCATTTTATCTTAAGACATTCTGCAGCGTTTGTAAATACCATATGGATGACTATGAATGCATCTCAGTACGTAGCTTCAGAAAACTAGACAAGCTTGAGGTAATTATCCTGAGACTGGGAGCCCTAGGTAGAATTCCCATTGTTTTCCCAATACAAATCTCACTTCCTTTCCTGATGCAGAGATATTCGCCTAAACTAAAATAGAGCATCGGGCAGGCAGGCAGGCGGGGGGCACTCCAACTGGAGAGAGGAAGGAGGAGGACGAGAGAGAGAGGGGTGGGGGGAGGGAAGGAGTTAAGTAGGGAGGGCAAAGGAGGAGGAAAAGGCTGCTGGTGTTTCTTACAATGCCCTAATGCCTTTGGGTGCACTTTCCAGTGTGGTTCGAACCACGGCCTGTGAGCAGCTGCTTCTGTTTATCATCGGTTGGAGGTAAGAGTCACGCTACGCTGGGAGTCTTCCTCTAGATGAGCCTACGTCTCTACTCGTCAGCTGAGGACACGATTCTTAGACAGCTTGTAGAAAGAACGAGGCAAACTTCCAACGTGAAGAGAGAATAAGTGAAATCTTCCACTGACTCAACAGGAGGACCGGAGGGGGACATCACACAGCCTGCCTCAGTGAAGAGATGAAGATATCTTTCTGGCTCAGATAAAAAAAGACCTGCCATCAAATACATCAGGAACGTTTGTCTTTCCCTCCTGGCCCAGGTCGAAGGAGGCCAACTTTCAGGAGGAAGACAGAGGTTTGATTCCTCGAAGGCAACCAGAGAGACATCCATTCTTAGCCTCTGCATTAGTAAAGAGGAACCAAAAGCCCGTCTTGTCCATCAATCTGAGGATCACAAGACACCTATACCTCTGCTGACTCAGAGAGAAGAGAGCGAGAGAGGGACTATCAATCCAGATTAGCGCCGATGGCCTAACATCCAACCCTCTACCGGTGTATCAGCGGAGACAGCAGTGAAGAGGGACATACTGCCTTCACCCACACCCAGCGAATGTGTCAATCTCAACACCTTGAATCAGAGCAAAAGTTGCACTAACTCCCTCAGCCCTACTACTGAGAGACATCAAACGATCTGACTCGATAGCAGGGGGAACAAGAAGAGAGCCCGTCTGCCTTATTCTGTCTGCCTTTTGTCAGGTGCTTTGTGCCTCAGGCGCTAATCTCAGGCAGCTCCCAATCTTTACACTAATAGAGTCGTCATCAGATCAAGCTTGGAGGTCTTTGAAGTTCATTACCAGTCTACCGTCAGAGACGTGAGCTTGAGCACGAGATAGCCTGGAGCTGTTTCTTCATTGAGACAGAAACTACGCATTTGTAGAGGACTACAGAGGTCACCTGACAGAGACATCTGCCCAGCTGTCTGATATTTAAGAGAGACCTATCAGTCGGAAAAGAGGCAGAGAAGCAGGTCACACAGGTAGAGTAGACTCATGTGAAAGTGATTCTGCATGGCTTGCTATTGGAGGTTGATGCTCTTTCACATTAAGGAAATTTACTGCACAAATCCCAGCCTGTTTTATGCACGTGCAAGTACCACATTCATATTCATCAGCTCTTACATTTCACGCATGAGACACAACCTCGCCACGCTTCACTGCTTTGTGCTTTCTGCACAATGTATACTGTGACTGTACTTAGAAGAAAAAAAGAAAAGAACACTGCCTCCGCAAGTTACATTGGGTTCACTCAGCAAATTCATTTGAACTTAAGTAAACTGTTAATTCTAACATGCATAAACGTTGAATTTCAGGATCTAAAGTTGGAGATTTAATAATATTTCGCCGCTGTTGGAACAAAACCTTGCATCTCCATTTTCGTTGTTTTCAGTTTTTGACATAATTTGAATTTGCCTGTTGTTCTTTACAATGGTGTGTAAATGTCCTGGCAAATGGGCCAAAAAAAGGCCCAAATTTACTTGGAAGAAAGTCTGGTTCCACTGACTTACATTAAAAGTAAAGCATGGTTTTTGCTTCTCGTGTAAAGTTACCATTTTGGAGACACAAGGTTTTGTTCTGACAGCAGCGATTTGCTAGTTAAATTTCTTTTTATCTGCATAATAAGGCAAAATAAAATTTGTTCAAAAATAAGCAAACCTACTTCGTAAGGTATACGATTATTTATAGTTTACAATGAAAAATACTTTATGATGCAAGAAGCAAACATAACTAGTTTTATACTAAGTCAAACTGAACAAAATAATGCCAAACAAAATATTAGTTTAGATAATTAAAAGTAATACATCCACTTAAACCTCAAGAGACTTCAAATCAGCTTCTGCTTCTCTTCCACTTATTACAGTGGACGTAGAGATTCGACAAAAAATGAATGTTTCTATAGAGTAGTATATAAGGGTATTCCTTTGAGAAAAGAAAATCTATTTAAAACTGAAACTCATTAATTGCTCCAGTAGCTCCATTAATATAATACTGATATTAGCCACATTGATAATTATAACCCATTATGTTAATTTTCCCCAGCCAATGTCACAGGACTGGTTTTTAAACACACATTTGGGTAAGTTATTCAGCTGAAATAGATGCATCCTGAATCAGGTTATGGTGTTCTTATCATATGTTATGAATGAAGTATTGGCAAACAATACAGACTGTCTATTAATAAAACCAGGAATTGTGTGTTAAACAGGTACATTACGAATAACATTTCAATGTTTGTCTTAGTTACTGCTATTGTGTTGGTGACTATGAGCACAACATTAAGTCTAAAAGCATAAACAGCAGCGAAAGCATTAAGATAAAGTGCAAACAAGACGGAATATAAAATAAACCAGATATGGAAGAACATAAACAGCAGACGTCGACTTTAAATAAACGTGTCTTCTTTACAGCGTCACTCTTTCAACCCTTTATGTGTTAATTGAGCAAGGAAGATTAAAAGGTATAAAGGTGAAGAATATTACTCTTTTAGATTATAATAAGGTTTTACATGAGCATGGATGTTAACGTAAGTCTTCTGTAATTAGTATAATCTACCTCCTCAGTCTTTGGCTTCGGGTCAAGATTGTTTCTGTATTCAATTGGCATTGAAAGAACAGGCGAATGTCTGAAAATAGACGCCAAGTCATTATGTTATAATGATTCCCAAGAGAGTGTTTCAGTACAAAAAAACGCACACACATCTGTGCCTGTCACAGCCTTGTATGAAGCATATCCAATAACACAGTTTAAGCTCAGTAGCTTAGCCTTGTACACTTTTTGCTGTAATTAGTAACCAAATGCCATCTTATGCTATTTCAATCAGGGTATCAGTTCAGCAATTCAACACATGGAGCCCCACACAAACACATTTCTTCTCATAAGCCTTGTCAACCCCCAGTGCTTCTCCTTGTACAGTTGTTTTACTGTAAAAGGGGCTTCAGGCTGGGACAGTAGGACAGGGCGATGTAAATATTTATTAGGGCAGTGGAGCTAGCAAAAGCGTCGGGGGAAAGTGAAGGCTGGCGTGCATAAAGCTGGGACGTTTCATACACGTTTGACCTGAACGCTGATCTGGGACAAGATGTTCTTGTATAGTTCCTAACTTTAAATGATTCCTGTAGGAAATGCAAAACTGAGAAGTGCTGGGAAGTCGCACAAGTTGGATATCTAAATTTCAGACAGCTGTACTGACTGAATATTAATCGCAGGTTCCTTTTAGTCCTTTAACTAAGATCAGCTGGAGTTTTATAGTAAATTTTCCAAAGAGTTCTTTGGAGCAGTGTCACAGAAGATGGTTTTTGGTTTCCTTATGAACGATTTTTATAAATGAGATGTGTGAGTGTGAACCACCTTAATTTTAATTTTCTTCAGAGTAGCCTCTTTCTGCAGGCCCCATAGTGAAGTGGAATGGAAATCAACTTGGATATTTTTAATTAATTTAGTCAAACAAAATATTTTCCCCTGTAACACCATTACCAGATTAATTAGGACACTGTAGGCTGTGTGTGAAATGTCATGACTCTGTGTTGAGCTGCTAGTGAGCAATGAGGTGTGAAAGGCAGGGAGTGTGAACCCCCTGCTGTGAAAACAGTTCACATTCCTCTATTTAGAAGGCTGTGTTGAGATAAAATGGATAGCACAGCTTTCTTGACTTAAAAAAATGTGTACAGCTACTACAATAACAAATAGTGTTTAAACACAGCTTTATAAGTGTTGGACAAAAAATATTCCAGTTTTGGTAAGTCACAGAAATATATTCGTCAGTTTACTGAAGGAAAAAAGGCAGAAATTGCATTTATGTGAAAAGGGGTTAAAGCTCAACCTCCCAACCTGATGCTCAGGGTTGAAAACAAATCCAGAGCAAATCAAGGTCACCTTTTAGAGAACCAAATAACAAGTGTACGCCATCTGTTTGATTAAGGGCTTTTCAAATACTATAGATATCTACTGTGTAATGTGAGTCTTGGGTGGCCTTGGGTGAACCAAGTTCAGAAAGGATCGCAGAACATGAATGCTAATCTAGGTCCTGATTCCTTCATAACAAGTTTTATTATAATGATAATATTTATGTCTAAGAAACGTGTCTGATGACTCTTTCTACATACAGGGTTTGGATAGTTGCTAAATAACCAGAGTACTGAAGCATGTGCTATGCATGCCAGCTCTAACCCAACCCTTAAATTTCTTGAACGAGTGAGGATGGTCAAGCTGTGCCCACATTCTAGAACAGGGGTGTCAAACTCAACCACTAAAATGGCCATATTAAAAAAAAAAAAATCAACAAATCCGTGTGCCATTGCAATGCATGCTAGGAACTGTAGTGCAGCTCATGGTGACATGGGCAAATATTAATAGAAAATTTAAATAATTTTGCAGGTCGAAAAGGACTGTGCCACAGGCCTGACTTGGCCCACGGGCCTTGTGTTTGACACATGGGTTCTAGAAAGCCAACAAGCAAAAGCTGTTCTAGACTTGTGGAGTCATGGAGGAAATACTTTGTTCACAAAACACAAGCAGCTTTTTTCTTTAACCCTTTTTCACAGTGCCATACAACGCAATCTCCGCCTGTTTTGGATGATCCTTTTTTGTATGTATTTTTTCCTTCTATAACGTTGATAGCTTATATTTGATGGAAGTGTGTATGAGTTAGAGAACTGGAAGTTTGATCATCAGAGGTGAGCAAGCAATAAACATTTATAATTGTGTTTTATTGTATTTAATTGATTGTATCCTCTTTTACCCCTCATTGTTCACTAGCAGCTCAACACAAAGTCACAACATTCACACACAGAGCATCAACAGAGCCCTAGTTAATATGATGAAGGAGTTACAGTGAAAAACATTTTTTATTTGATTAGATTCAATAAAATGTCAGACAAATTCCATTCTATGGGTAGAATGGCTGCTAGGGGACTTGCTGAAGGAGGTTTAAGGGCCCATATCCTATATTTGTCTTGGATTTAGTTTTTTTTCCCTGAGACCCACTTATATCACTTATGTGGTGTAGCAAAAACAGACCATTTTCCAACATCTCTTTATCCTTTACAATTAAACAGGCTGTATTTGTTACTGTCCTTTTAAGACTGATATATCTAAATGAGATCTGGAGCTAAACTGCTATAGGTTGAAATAGCAGATGTATGGCAGCTTAGTTTTCAGACATAAACTGTATGAAGTGGGGAGTAAATGCTATATTTTAAATCCTGAATACAATGCTTACATTCTTCGTAAAACTCTTAATTCAAGAAAGTAAGAAAAATGTACAACCCCGTTTCCAAAAAAGTTGGGACAATGTACAAAATGTAAATAAAAACAAAATGCAATGATGATCATTTAAACCCTATATTTCATTGAAAGTAGTACAAAAACAACATATCAAATGTTGAATCAAACTGAGACATTTTATTGTTTTTTGAAAAATATATGCCCATTTTGAATTTGATGCCAACAACACGTTCCATAAAAAGTTGGGATGGGGGCAACAAAAGGCTGTTAAAGTTGTGTAATGCTAAAAAAAAAAAACACCTGGTGGTTCATTGGCAACAGGTCAGTAACATGACTGGGTACAAAAAAGCACCCAGAGAGTCTTTCAGAAGTAAAGATGAGGAGGGTTCACCACTCTGTGAAAAACTGCATGAGCAAATAGTGCAACAATTCAAGAATAATGTTTCTCAACATAAAATAGCAAAGAACTTTTGCTTTTCATCATCTACGGTACATAATAACATTAAAAGATTCAGGGAATCTGAAATCTCTGTATGCAAGGGACAGGGCCAAAAAACAGTATTTGCTGGCCATGATCTTTGGGCCCTCAGGCGGCACTGCATCAAAAACAGACATGATTCTGAAGTGGGAATCACTGCATGGGCTCAGAAACACTTCCAAAAACCACCGTCTGTGAAAACAGTTTGTCGCTGCATCCACAAATGCAAGTTAAAACTCTAAAACGCGAAGAACACACAGGATCCAGAAATGCTGCCAC